ATTGTCTTCCACAAAAAAAGTGAGTGCCTGGTTGTACAGGCCCGATGCTCGCCCCTCAATCTGCAAGAGCAGAGGGCTAGCAACATCGGAGAATATATTGTTTTGCTGGCTCCCTCCTAAAAGTGTCCTCCGGTTAGGTTGAATAGCAATGGCCATGGCCATCACTACATGGCCATGCTGTGCCTCTTTTAGCACCAGCAGTGTGTCTGGACTCTGGAGTGCATTTTACTGATGTGATAGACCCTTTTTCCATGGGGTTTCCATGGAGGCTGTGATGGCTTATTATGGGTTGTGAACCTGCAGCCTCCTGTAGGCGTCTTGCATCTGGTGTGGATGAGTGATCATCTGCTTTGATTTTTTGTCACAGGTACCCTTGAGGGCAGTGGCTGGTGGCAGCCTTAAGGTACCCATTGTGGGGCAGTCATTGCTGCTCAGCCGTAGCCGCACCAAATACGTCTATAATGTCCGGATTCGGGTGAAGACGGTAGTACACCCGGGCCTGGAGGTGCTGCACTGCACGCCAAGCTTTTCTGAAACACCAGCAGTGCACTTTTTTTTGGGGGGGGGCTGGCACAAGCAGCCCTTGTGGTACAAGAGGCCCGAGGCCCGAAATTTTTTGTGTAGTCGACAAGCAAATCTCCACAAGGCTGGGGCCGTGTGCTAGCGGTTTAAGGTGGATTAAGACTTACGGTGTCACCGGTTAGGGGACTCCGCAGACTGTAGAGGGTTCAAACTACTGATGAATCAGTGAAACGGATGACCCACAGCATGAGAAAAAGAAGGAATGAACAAAGTGACTCCAGAAAGGGAAGACATAAATTGCGGACGACGTAGGAAGGTGGTGCACACCCTTTTCTTCTTTGAACCACCAGTTCACGCGAATTTACGTACTGATTTTACCTTTTTTCTTTTTTTTTTTTTTTTTTTTTTGCTCTCACTGGTATACGCGGTAACAGCTTCTCTATTTGGGCGTGGCCCGGCAGGGAAAGCAGCAGGCCACTTTGATTTTTTTTTGGCAGTTGCAAGCTCGCGAGCCTTGGAAGTTGGAAGGTAGTTTTGTCTAACTTGGGCTCTTGTGGACTGGCGGTTTAAGCGGTTAGCTCCTGATGTTATCATATCTATCTGAATCCTCATGAAGATCGAACTCGTGATCTCTTTATCGACAGTCACATGTGTGTAGCATTTAGCCACATGGGCTAGGTAGGAGTTGATGCACACCTGTGGAGACACCCTCATCAACGACTGTCTGCGCCGCACATCTGCAGACACACGCATGTGAATATGGATGGTCTGCGGCTGGTAGATGCCTCAGTCTTCCTGTGTGTCTCTCACCCTCATGTCTGGGTCCACTGAGCCATCCCGATCCTTTCCCCCAAAATCCCGTCCTTTGCCGACTTCCTGCACCCACATTGATCATCCAAACACTTTGCAAAGGACTGTAAACTTGTGTGCATGCAAAGTCATTATGTATCACATAATCACACTGGATTTGAACTCCTAATCTGCTTATCAACAGTTGCATGTGTGTACCATTCATCACCATGGCAGGAACACTGCCAACAGAAAATCATCATCATCATCATCATCATCATCATCGTCGTCGCCGTCTGGTTATGCAGGCAGAGGAGACATTGCTGTGGTATTGGAATTCGTTTCACATATCATTCACAAATCTTTATCTGCCCCTCACAATCGACAGCGTGTCCCTTCAAGCAGACTTCATCCTTTGGACCAATCGGTACATGGGACCCTTCCTTTGTCCTCTGTGGGCCTCCAAATGCATCGGAACCAACCCGTACGCTCATGAACCGACCCGTGCATCAATGGGCGCACCTTGCTCGAGTACTGCGTAGTGGCTTGAACAACCATCATCTCTCTTCACCACATTTGGGCCCGCCACTGCGGACAATGGAAAGAGAGAAAAAAAAAGTGGTCTGGCATCCTGGCAACCAGTGCAGGGGTAGAAGGCAGAGCACTGGTTTAAAGAAGACTGTTTTTGGACTATGTATGAGGAACTCTGCCAAGACTATATGAGCATATGGCCACAGTTGTGGTCAGATTGGTGAAGAAAATCCCAGTGTGCGTATGCCCCAATTAACTTGAAGAATGGCATAGCTCCAGCTTCCAGTATTTTCTTTTCTTTGCCCTTTTTCCCTGCTGCCCCTCCTTCCACCCCCCTCACCGTCCCTGATCCTCATTCCCAATCGCCAAGACTATGAGCATGCTTTGATCCGTGTTCGAATCATATGATGCAATACTCAAGTTTGTGGCAAGCACATGAACCGCAGCACAACGATGAAGAGTGGGAGGTAGAAGAGAAAAGGAATGATAAAAAAGTATCATTCATGAGAAAGTACGCGAATAATATTGACAGTGGGCGCTAAGACGCATCTCCACAGCCAAACCTTCTTTTCCATCTCTGTCTCCTCTTACGTAGCCATGGAAGTCAAGAGAAAAATGAGAAAAGGGTTTATTAAAGGGGGAAGAAAAAAGACTCCCCGGGTCATTCTCATACCAACTCATTATCGGTGGTCATTACGCTGATTCACCCTGAGTGTGAGTAGTGGAGCAGCTGGGGAGTCAAATGGGGGCCTGGAGATGATGGAGATGACCTCCATGGCTATGGAAGAGGAGATGGAGGTTGAAGAAGGAGGGTTTGTATATGGAGATACCTGTTCGTGCCCCAATTGGGCATGTGGAGGAAGAGGACTTGAGCTGACCAAGAGGACGGGCAAGAGGAGAAGAACCATGCTGAAGACTACTTAGCTTCAGCTATGGTGGACTACCAACTTCATCCCCATACGTGGCGCTGCATCACGAAGACCCTTTCAGTGTTCTCTGAGTGGAGACTTTACCCAAAAGTGTGGCAATGGTGCTACAAAGAAGCTCTTTTGTTTTGTCTTCTGTACATGCCACTTGCATGGGTGGATGAGGCGGTCGACATAGTAGTGCTACCACGCCGAGAGTTTGGGGAGAGAGGAGCACAATGGAGTTTCTACTCTCGGGCATTTAAAAGGGCAATCCATCGGACATTAGTTATTGGTTCAATCATGTATTTCTTTTGTTATCGATAAGCAATAAGAGTAGAGGAGGGGGGATATGCCGGTAATGACATTTTGAAAGTATTCTTTTCCTTTTCTTCTCCTTCTTCTTCTCCTTCTTTTTGCATTCCTTTTTCTCTCTTCTATCTAAGCGTAGAGGAGGGGATACGCCGGTGATGACATTTTGAAAGTTTTTTTTTTTTCCTTTTCTTCTTCTTCTCCTTCTTTTTGCATTCCTTTCTCTCTCTTCTATCCCCCACTCTTCATTGGGATGAAGATGGTAGGTAGCCGTAGCCAAAGGTGAGTCGTCGTGTAGTAGAGCAGCTGAGGAGCCAGGAGGGAGTTTGGAGATGAGGGGTCATTCATGCTCGTCTGAACCCAGGTTAGGTGAAACTTGCATGAAAGTTCAATCACCAAAAGAAAATACCCCACAGGAACCCTTCTGACAATCCCACAGAACAAGGTGCCATGCAACAGACCCATACTCAGATGAGAAATCGTCAGACGTATCTGTCTACAATGAAAGCCAAATTCAGTCGAAATAAACCGGATATGAGAATATGCTATGCAAGGTTTTTTTAACTTTACTTTTTCCCCCTTTGCCACATATGATCGACTCCATCCAGCCGACCTGGACAAGGAACAGGGTGTTGTAAGCAGTAGAGTGGTCATGTCGTCATGATCTCTTGAGAATCAGCCTCTTTTTTTCTTTTTCTTTTTTTCAAAAACAAGGGCTACGGCCTTGAGATATCATCATGCAACTGACTGCCCCTAGCCCCTAGGTATTCAGAATTGTTCAATTGCAGTATTACCCTCATTTATTTCCACTGGAGTTCAAACTCAGCACATGGTCTGTATTTCAACAGTTCAGTTCAGGGGGGGCGTACCAGCTGAGCTACGCCAGTTGGTGTGAGATTCAGCCTCTTGTTCCAAAGATTAATTTCACCATTCCAAATTTCCAATTAAAAAAAAAAAAAAAAGATTCCGTCTCCTGTTCCCAACTAAAGAAAGAAGAAAAAAAAAGTTCACAGAAGCAGCAAATGCCAGCAACAGAATTTACCACAGGATATTTAAAAACAAAAAAAAAAGTACCTCGCGATAACCGCAATCCTTCGGTTAATCCCACGGACGTTGGGCTGTCATTAACCAGACCGTGTCGCCGACCCAAAGCCCTCGCCACCTGCCGACACGACTGCGACGCTTCTCCCTTGTTGGAGGCGAGTCTCGAGAGAATCTCACGGCCTGGATGAATGCCATGTGGATTTGATGGGTGGCAGCATAGCGACTGCTGTGCCCCTCTACAAGCAACCCAGCCATTACATCCGCTACTCCTCAGAAATCCCTGCAAGCAGGTGCAAAAAATATTCAGCAGACGTCAGCAGCAGCAAATCACCAAAAGTTCGGCAACACTCGAAGCTAGAGATCAGATGTGTTGTTCATTGCAGCACCAGGGAGGGAGAGCGGGAGGTTGGAAGGGGGAAGAGAGGCAGGGCTTAAGGTGGCAAGGAGATTGGAGGGCGGGAGAAGAGGGAAGGAGAACTGGTTAGCGAGGTGTCGTTTCTGGCAGGTGTTCTAGACTGTCTTTTATTTTTCATTAGATTTCCAGCTTGATGGGGTCTGTTTTCACATACATTGTAAGTATGTCCTAGTTCGTAACCTCGGGTTTCATAATCCTTTTAAAACACCACTACCAGCGCCTCGTTTTCACATTGTGGGGTATCCGATCGTTTCGGAGGACGAAACGAAATGACGGCCGCCGATGAGATTTATCAACGACGGACGGGCCTAGCCCCCGAGTTTTTAGGAGGCGGCTATTTTCCCACTTTCCCAACAGTGGGAAAGAAGGTAGTGGTAGTTTCACTGTATGAGGCAAAATGATCTCCTAGAATAGAATTGAGTATTGTAAATACATTCGACGAGATTTTATGTCGTTAACATCGGGATAATGTCGAGCCCAGCAAATTTTCTTCGATATCATGTTGTCAGAATCTGGTCTTGTTCTAGGTGGTCTTGATCAATTTTTTTCCATTTCGATCGGGTCTGCCTTAGTAGTAATTTACAAATTTGAAATTTTGTCTTGGTTTGTAATATCAGGTTTCATATACGACCTTTCTCGGCCTTTGGCTAAAAATAGATAGTGCAGTATCTGTTCTGATCATCAGTTTAATATCTGATCGGTTACATTTAATTTTTTAAAAAAGTAATATCAGGTTTCATAATCTTTTTAGCTGTAGAAGGTTGTGCGAGGAAAATGAGCGAGAGCGATAGACATAAAACCAAATTGCAATATCACGCTGAAGACCAGATAGTCGTTTACCAAGCAGAAAACACAATGCACCGAGATACAAGCCAAATAAGAGCCAATACAATGAACTCAAATGTCAATGTCGAGACTCCCTCGCCATCATCAACGATGTATCCAATGTCACCCTTCTCGATTGGCACCCAGCGCCCTGCCTACCTCTACTCAGAACCTACTCTAGTCTACTCTACGACATATGACAGGGATCACTTCAAGCAAATGACTAATGTACGTGACGAAGTCCACCATGCAGATTGTCGCATACACCAGGTGCGTGTCTCTCATCCCTCTCTCTCCCACCATCTTCTCCACACCCACATTGTGCGTCCTCTTCCCGAAGACCACCATCGCCCACACTAGCATCACAAGCAGTTAACAGGGGCCCCCACTTTTCAGCCCTGGTTAACCCCCCCAGCACTGAAAACAGTGAAAAGTGCATTTGGTGATAATCTTTTTCAGCATTTTTTTTAATTATTTTTTTCCCGCTTCTCACTACTAGCTATGGCTGTCGTGCGGCCACTGCCAAGCGCCCTCACCTCTCTGCGCCCACCATGTGCACCTCTAGCTCCAACGCCCTGGCAACCAAGAGCGCTCAATGCAGCAGCGCTGTCGCACAAGCGCCCAGGGCCAGAATGCTCTGCTGGAAGGCGAACACTTTCCTATATGGAAAGTGTGCCCTGCCTTCGCGTGCCAGGGGCCAGGCGACCGCGTTTCCATTAGCTTCTGGTCGGGCCTCAGTATCTGCACCCAGGCATAATGCAGACACTCGCCTGGGCCCGCAACAGTTAAGCAGCCCAACTGTGCGACGTGGCCAGCATCACACGCTGCAAGTCTATTGGCTGAAAGGCCTCTGGCCACGTCGCTGCCTGAAGGAGCCCAGAGGCTCTGGATGTCGTGGTCACACACACCTGGAACTGGCGCGTAGTAACTGTCTGGCGCCCCCACATGCAGAAAAATGACAAAAATAGGCCGCACTTAGGGCGGCATGAGGATTGCCGTCTGTTCACGGCTGTCGAGGCCAGAAAGGCCTTGCGAGGGGCTCAATCCTCGCAGTTGTCGACAGTAGAATAAAAAATGATGTCCTACAATAGAATCAAAAGACGCGCCTAGGCCCTGCCGAGGCAGGTAGACCACATTGGAACAGAATGTGGGACAAATATCAGGTTTCATCATCTTTTAACTGTAGGAGGTTGTCCACAATAGAAAAACGAAATGATCTGCCACAATAGGATCAAAAGGCGCGCCTTGGCCCTGCTGCGGCGGGTGCACCAGATCGGAAAAGACAATGTTRGAYAAMMCAYAYASRSASASASAGAGAGAGAGAGAGAGAGAGAGAGAGAGAGAGAGAGAGAGAGAGAGAGAGAGAGAGAGAGAGAGAGCAMTCAGTAGTGGGGGCAGACCTGCTACCCCTTTTCAAGAATAGAAAACAATGTTACGTGCTACCGTTTTTCAAGAATTAAAAACAAGGTTACATCAATTTACATGCTACCCCTTTTCAAGACCCAAAAGCAAGGTTACGTGCTACCCCTTTTCAAGCACTAAGAGGAAGGTTACGTGCTACCCCTTTCAAGAATTAAAAAACCTGCTACCCCTTTTCAAGAATAAAAAACAATGTTATGTGCTACCGCTTTTCAAGAATTAAAAACAACAAGGTTACATCAATTTACATGCTACCCCTTCTCAAGACGCAAAAGCAAGGTTACGTGCTACCCCTTTTCAAGCATTAAAGGAAGGTTACGTGCTACCCCTTTTCAAGCATTAAAGGAAGGTTACGTGCTACCCTTTTCAAGAATTAAAAACAACAAGGTTACATCCTCCACCTTTTCAAGAATTAAAAACAAGGTTACATGCTACCCTTTTTCAACAATTAAAAACAACAAGGTTACACGCTACCCCTTTTCGACAATTAAAAACAAGGTTATGTGCTACCCCTTTTCAAGAATTAAAAACAACAAGGTTACGTGCTACCCCGTTTCAAGAAATAAAAACAACAAGGGGTTACGTGCTACCCCTTTTCAAGGATTGAAAACAAAAAAGGATGAACTCGGAATCTAACCGGCTACTTATGGTACATATAGTGTAGTGAAAGTTGCGGCGACAAGTTTGTTTACAAGGAACGGCACAGAGAAGATTACTATGGCCATTGTGCAAGGATGACACACACCATTGGCTGTTGCAGCTGTCTGTGACAAACCCAGAAACTGCCGTATTCTTACAAACAAGTCCAAAAAGGTCCATATTCGTCTCTTTCCCTTCTGTACTACACCCCCTCCTACCCGCCCCCCCCCTTCCCCTCCCCCATGTGCTCATCTGCCTCCTTTTCCCCCCAAACACAGTGACTGCTAACAATTGGCAGTTCGACTTGCAATCTCTTTATTGCGCGTAACGTAGCGTGTTATTTACCACGTTGGCGTGGACAGAACTAGATGAAAGCCATTAAAAGGAGAAGACACGATTGTCGCTTAACTCCAGATACGACACCTACTTGCTCATTGACTAAGTTTCGCGCGAATCCAAAAGCCGTTTGCTTGCGTACTAAACGGCCCCCATTCATAGTGGCAAAATGAAATATAAAGTTGTGTGTGTGTGTTTAGTACAATGTTTACAATGTTGAGATGTTCAAAACTACACTCCATGATTCACACCATATCCGCAGTTGATTGATTGTCCATCCAAAATTTTCCCACTTGTGAGTTCAATCGAAACCCTGCTGTGCAGTATTGTATCATAATAATGATAATATACTATCTTAAAGTGCCAGTACAGCAGACCCCCCAAATCATCAAACTAAACAAAAAAAAAAAATCATCAAACCTAAGTCTTTTTGTCTCCAAAATGAACCATTCCCCGCCAAGCCGATACACCAAAAAGCGCAGCCTCTGCATCCATCAGAACAAATTTCGGACAAGGGGGCTCGAACTGGTGGTTTGAGGCACCATACATATCACCAACACCAGCCATAACGTGCTTATATATATGCTGACCGCCGTGGCGTGTCTAATAGCCATACTAGAGCCGCAATAGACTATTGCCATCTATCTCTCAATTTCTCACAAGGCAAAAGTCTGGAAATGGCCAGCACCTGCCACAGAGAGAAACCTGCAACACTTCTAACAAGTCAGTAACCCACTTCCCCTCCCCCCCCACCTGATCCACCCCTTTCTGCCCCCCCTCCCCCCTCCCCCCCTCCCCTCTCAATTTCTCACAAGGCAAAAGTCTGGAAATGGCCCTGTCTCTTATACACATCTAGATGTGTATAAGAGACAGGAGAGAGGCAACTCACTCCTGAGTAGCAAGCTCCCACGCCCACTGAATGGCCTCTTTCTTGAAGTAATCACCAAAGCTGAAGTTGCCCAGCATCTCAAAGAATGTATGATGTCTGGCTGTTCTCCCAACGTTTTCAACATCATTTGTCCGAATGCACTTCTGGGATGTCGTGGCTCGCTCAACTTGCCTTGGCTCCTGTGACAGGTCACCATACAGATACATAGTTAATTCCTTACCAGGGTCACAAGGGGGCATAGAACCTCGATTCCTCCCTCCTCCCTCCCTCCCTCCCTCCATGGAAAATTCCATGGGATTGCCGTACTTTATACCACCACCCATTTTTTGTTACAGGGACCAAGAAACCTGGGCTCATATCCCACCCAGACATACCCAAGGGACCCTTTCCAACTTGCACCCCCTCGTCAAACCTCTGCCGGGATTGTTTTCCGAGCCTGGCCAGTGCTTACCGGGGTTACCAACTGGGGAATTTTCTTGGTCACACCGCAAGGGTCGTGGTTTAACCAAACAAGAAAACAACTGTTGATATCTAGGTTTGAGTCTCCTTTCTAAGAAATAATAAAAATGATAAAATCCTCTAGCCGGAATGGCGGCAAACATCCAGTGGGGAGTGCCGGGTGGTTGCATTGTCTTTGTTCTTCTTCTTCTTCTTCTTCTTCTTCTTTTCTTTTCTTTTTCTTTTTTTTTTAATTTTTCCGTTACGTTGTCTTCTGACTTGCTGGTGGAAAGGAACCCGATTGGTGCATAACAAAGGAAATAACACAACCGAGTGGCACTTCTTTTTCTTTTTTTTAATATTCAAGTGGCTTGTTTCCAAGAGAGACGAAAAATGAAAGAATAAAACAAGGGGAGGGTCCAGGAGGGAGCAATAGACTTTTAAAATTTAATAAAGCATAATATATTAAGAAAGGAATTGACATCATTAAGTGCCACGAAACCGAAATAACGAGTCACACAACAAGGGAAAGGAGAAAAGCAGGGGTAGACATAAAAATTGAGCAGTCAGAGACAAGGACAAAAGATTAACAAGGGGAAACGAAGGAACATACATGCAAGCAGAAAGCGAGGTTCATGCTAAGATTGACCAGGCAGAGTCTACGTGCGGCAAAGATGAACAAGAGAGGAAACGAAGCAACACACAGGCAAGCAGGGAGAAAAAAACAAAAAAGACGGACGAGGTTATCCCCTTTCTCTAAAAGGAAGACTTTTCCCGACCACCACCTTCTTCCCCCGAACATAACGCATATGTGTTGTATTCGAGTTTCCAAATTTGCAAAAAAAATCGAATAAAACGCATATGCATTATATTTCAATATTTGAAAATTACGGCTATTCGAGAGACCGCACCCCATGTGTTGTATTCGTTTACAACACACACGCGTTATGTTCGGGGGAAGCAGGTAGTCGTAGATCAGACCACGCATGACTTTTCCCCACCAATGGGTCAGAGCAAAAAGCAGGGGCTGCGTTCTATTCGAATACAACACGCACATGTTCTATTCGAATACAGCACGCACGACTTTTCCCCACCAATGGGTCCGAGCAAAAAGCAGGGTCGAAGGAAAATTGACAACGCAGAGACTGCGGCGAAGATGAAGAAGAGGATATCAAGGAACACATGGGAAAGCAGCAAGACGCCCGGGGTTACTGATGATACTCTTCTCCGAATGTCTGTTCATTGTCTCAGTCAAGCTCTGCTTCAGTGTGGGTGTGTTGTGTGCGTCCACTGAGCACGACAATCATACCTGACCCAGAAATATGGGCTTGAACTGCAGCATGCCGGCGATTGTAAGCAGGACCGTTGGATCTTTTGGCACAAGCGATGAGCTGGGAAGAATCTTATGGCCCCGTTTCTCAAAGAATTGAAGAAAGCGCTGTCGGATGCTCCTGCCACTCACTGTCGGATCAGCTGCTACAGCCTTTGCCGCCAAGCCATTGCCCAAGGAAGGCTCCTCTGAAGCGAAGCCATATAGCAAAACGAAGCAAGGTACCACAAGACTCCAAACAGCAATAACAGGAAAGCAAGCAGGAGGCACACAAGGAGATGGAGGAGGAGGAGGAGGAGGAGGAGAAGTACGGGGGTTAGGAAAGCAAGGAGGAGACAGGAGGAGGAAGAGGAGAAGGAAGAGGAGGAAGAGGAAGAGGAAGAGGAGGAAGAGGAAGAGGAAGAGGAAGAGGAAGAGGAGGAGGAAGAAGAGGAGGACGAGACAGGAGGAGGGAAAGGAGGCAGAGGAGGAGGAGCAGGAGGAGGCGGGTTGTGATAATAGGTGGAGACAGGAGGGGGGATACCCGGGATAGTGATAAGAGGAGGAGATAGGAGGAGGAGGAGCAGGAGGAGGAGACAGGATGAGGAGGGGGAAGAGGAGAGGAGGGTCAGCGGTGAGCGTTCAAGACAGAAAAAAGGCATAGGACATACTGCCAATGCCGCAGAGAACATGTCTCACTGTCCTGGTGATAAGGAACGCAAGCAAGGATCAACCCCAGCACAGCCTTAGTGGAGTTGAGAGTAAGGCTTCTTCTGAAGCATGCCACTTGTTTCGAGAATCTACGGGAGTGAGAGAACGAATCAGACAACGGGATGAATGTTCACTGCTCATTGTTCTGTCTTTCAATTTGGCTGACCAGCTATCTAACGCAATGCATAGATGCTCGGTCTGGACCTAGTGGCATGCTTTATACTCATTAATCTGGACCTAGTGCACTGCAAGGTCCAGATTAATGCATATAAATTGCTGCATGCGTCACCACAGCTGCATCCGAACGAATTTAGGCGCAAATGTGTGCAGATGCAGATTCATGCTTAGGACGCAAATGCATGAGTCGCAACAGTTATATGCATCTGGAAGGAATCTGGACCCTTGATTCAAGTTGAATTGGGCCCTAATCAACTTCGGACGGCTCTGATGCTGCTTGAGGAGGCTTCAACCCATCCTTGCCTTTTTCCTTTGCCTTCTTCTCTCATTCAAAACGACTGCTCAATATCCAGGACTTTACAGCCTACCTTCTTCGCCCAAATAGAACGCCCGGTCATTATAGCTGTATTTGGTGCAATTTTCTGTCTAGATACAGTGATAATGACCGGGTGTTATATCGGGGTGAAGACGCTAGCTGTTTAAACACAACTGGTAGATGGCTGCCTCTGGTATGAGAGGATTGGCGGCTTCAGCAGATTCCTCGGACCCAAGGGAGGCTGCCAGGATCACAACTCTTTCTGGCCAAGTCGGGGATGAAATCACGTCATCTCCCGCTGAAATCAGTTCCCCCGTTTAGGACGACTCTACTGCAGCTGCTGCTGAATCCGCTTCTGCGCTGCAGCCTTGTATTAGAACAGGCTGAAGTCCAGTGCAGATTCCAGTGGCACAAGACCCACGCTGTCTCGTATGGTATACACTTTCATCCTCAGCCCGAACTGCAACCAGGGTCTCTCGTTTTTCTTCCCAGTCCCTTGTAGTGTGGAAACCTGCACCTTGCCTTTCTGAGCAGACTTTGAAGTCCAAAGGACCACCCTGGGTTGCTGCCACAGTTTCATCGTCCAACTAGGATGTGGCAGGGTGGTCGCCCACTGCAGATTTGCTCAGTGAAGGCTGAGCGACTACAACATAACGCTCGCTGTTTTACCCTTCCTCAGGGTGTTCGATGGAGCTGCATGCCGCTCATTGCGGGCAGAGGCATTGGCAATTTCGCAAATCTCCCTGATCATCTCCGTAAGTTTGGTCAAAAATATAGTGAGCGTACAGTACGCCGTATACACATTCGGTTGAATCGGTTGCTTCTGCAGCCCTGAACACGAGTTGTGTACGAACTGGTGTTTGACGGGCTTGTATGTCAGGCACAAATCCAGTGTGGACAGCAGTCAGTGGAATTTTGTGAGTCAGTCTCTGGACAGTGTGCTCCCTTGAGAAAGGGTGACGATCTTCTTAGCGGCAACAACATCAGAATCTGCAACTGGGAGCTGTTTTTCCCAAGCTATGGCCACCAGCTTCAAGAAGTCTTGTTCTTCATGCACCTACAGCCGCAGGTCACCACGTAAGCTGCCTCTCCCCTCATGCCTTGTTCGTCTCGTGTCAGTCGTCTCTCTTTGTCCTCCTCCCTCACTACTCCTAGCTATGGCTGCCCGCCAAGACTCTCTCTCTCTCTCTCTCTCTCTCTCTCTCTCTCTCTCTCTCTCTCTCTCTCTCTCTCTCT